AACAATTGCCCAGCCTTTTAATTAGTGAAAACAGGACGTAACTTGACGATCAGGTTAAAAGAACACCAAAAACCCCTTCACAAGTCCATGAGCAAACGAATAAAAACAAAGTTTTTGCTGAACAGAATGTGACAGTACTAAAATTTGTTTTTTCTCTTTACCCATAAATAAATAATTTGTCAATTCACGCGGATTGATATATACACGCATAAGTAACCACTGTCAATTCTAGAATTTAAATATATTGTTAGATTGTTGAATATAAATTTAAATACTAAATCATTCTTTACCGTTAAAACTTGTGTACTCGAGAATGATCGCACCTGTGATCGGTCGTACTTGTTCTAAATACAAATCTTATTTACTGTAAAAGCTGTAACTTGTGATAACATATATTGATACATTGCTCAAACTTTGCTCTATTTAACAGCAGAGAAAAGTTAGTTGTGTCGAAAATCGTGCGGCATAAACAAAATATTGAATTACTTGTGACCAGATACTGAAACCATTGTGTTGGTATTTCTTCTAGAGTGAAAGTAATCACGTGTAGAAACTCGCTTTGAATTACTTGCGACCAGATACTGAAACCATTGTGTTGGTATTTCTTCTAGAGTGAAAGTAATCACGTGTAGAAACTCGCTTTGAATTACTTGTGACCAGATATTGAAACCATTGTGTTGGTATTTCTTCTAGAGTGAAAGCGTAGAAACTCGCTTTGAATTTCTTTTTTTTTTCGTTACTTTGGGAAAGTGAAATGCCTTCAGCTATACTTGGTCCTTTTCAGTCAACAACTGACACACCTTTGAGTTGATCTGTGACCACTTAGCTGGATCACCTAAACCAAATTTTCTTTATTATGAGAAGCTGATATTTTTTCAACTTAAGAGGAACCTTAGTAACTAGTTTCAGCACTGGACTTTTCACTAGTTTCAGCAGCAGCATTTTCATGATTCATCCTAATGATAGTCCCTTCAATTTCTTTTAATGTGTTGCATTAAAAATTTGAGAATATCGGCTTCCTAATTTTCCTCTTTTTCTATTTTCATTTTCCAATAATGAGCACCAGAAAGATACTGCATTCAATCAGCCACGTGTTTCTAGAGTTCACTGTTTAACCACTTTGAGTTATCTCTGTTTAATTGTTACTTTTTGTCTTTGTTGGTGTTTTTATAAACTTAAAAGTTATTTCATAGGAGTACTATACACTCTGCATTCTCCTTGAAAAAAACTAACTTGTAGTCTATGGAACTCGTATACCACAACGGCTTAGTTTCAAGAATGTTTTAGATATTTTCGGTTGCATATTATTGAAATTCGTATTCCAGGAAAAAAACTACAAATGCATAGTCTATATGAATGTTAAGTGAATGCTCTGACCCTGCTTTCCTTTGTTTACCTGCAACATACGTGCTCATTAGGGAAAATATAACAAGACAGGCGATGTTATAAACTTAGACTGACCTTGGTAAATAAATTCATCAGTGAAATTATTTATAATTTACACGTACTCTATTTTGACATCCTAGGCAGTTGTGTACTTCGGTTATCCAATAACTCTAATGAAAACTTGTAATAAAATATACTTAATCAGTAAGTAAACTCAAAATGAAACTATTTATTTTTCAACATGTTTAATTTGGCATGAAACGTCAACAGCATATATTGGGGCAGACTGAAAATGGACCAAAAAATCAATATGACCCGTTAGTTAGGGTACTTGACTCGCAACTTGTGGGCCTTCTGTTCGAATCCCTTTACCAAACACGCTCTCTCTTTCAGCTGGACGGTTGTTAGAATGTGACGGTCAATCCCACTTTTTCATTATTAAAAAGTAGCCTTAGCGTTGGATGGTGTTGACTAACTGCATTCCCTGTAGTGTATCACTTTTAAATTAGGGACGGCTAGCACAGATAGCCCTCGAGTAACTTTGCACGAAAATTAACAAAACATACAATCGATAAAGAAAGTCTACATCGAATTAAACAAAAAAAAGAAAGTACTGAAAAGATTTACTTTAAATAATTATTTTCCTGGTAAGAGTCTATTGAACTTAAAATATAGCTTTTCTTGAAAGTCTTTGTTTGTTTGGTTTAGAGCAAAGCTACATTGGGCTACCTGCTGTGTCCACCGCGAGGAATCGAACCCAGGATTTTAGCGTTATAAGTTCGTAGAATTACCGCTGCACGCCTAGGGACTTTTTGAAAGTCACTCATAAGTAGAAATTTCTTGAATTAGTTGAATGTTTGGCCAGATTTGATTCTACCATGAAAAAGCACCTTAGAGGAGTTATTAGGTAAGAAAATTATGTATTTAATGCTGGTAGAATTACCACATATAACTCCAATGTGCTCGACTGTACTCCAGACACAAGGTACACAGAATAATGACAATGATCACTTTGTTTGCCACAGCCACTGAGGCACCTCCAACTGAAGATGGTAAGGTAAGCATAAAAAAATGCTTACTCAAACTTTGCCATTGAAAGATACGTTTCGTATGCTGTCTTTGTTCTTCTAAATGTCCAGTTATTTAAATGTAGTTCCCGGTTAGACAGCGGTAAGTGTACGGATTTAAAACGCTAAAATATGTAGTTCAATTCTTCGCGATGGACACAGCAGATAGTCTGGTGTGGCTTTTCTCTAAAATAAAGGAAGAATTTAAAAAATATATTATGTTACGTTAATTTCGCATTTAAATGGAAAATACATAACTCTATAGAACATGTGACGGATTTACTATGACATACATGTTTTAATATCGATGTTTGTTTAAGTTGAATTTATATTTAGAAATGTACATAACTTATATTGTTAAATATGTATTGCGAAATTTTCGCATATTCTCTAAAGTTGTAGAAGATTCCCGAGTGTAAGAATCAATAATATATGTGTGTACGTAAACGCTAGTGTTAATGTCAGTATTGTTACGTAACCTGAAATTTCGAGAAACTCTCCACACGC